ATGAAGAGTTTTGTGAATGGAGATTTTGTGCAAAAAATTCTCTCTTTTTTCTCTTATTAATTTCAAGCACCAAAGGGTGCCATTTATAGAAGAAAATTAGGCATCTTTTCAAGAATGTGAGGAAGAGGTGATAACAGATTTATGTTGTTACCATGCCACCTCACCTTCTAGAAGAATGATACTTCACCTACTAGGATTATTCAACTCTGTATAACAGAATGGAGAATTACAGCATTTTCTATACTCTCCCTCAATCTAGTTTATATATATATTGAATAAACTTAAATTGGATACAACATTATCAAATATCTGTTTTGGTAGTGCCTTTATTAGGATGTCAGCAACTTATTGATTTGAAGGGATGTGCATAAGAGCTATGGTTTCATTTTCAATTTTTTCTTTGATGAAATGTTGATCTATCTCTACATGCTTGGTCCTGTCATGATGCACTAGATATTTGGCCATGCTGATTGTTGATTGATTGTCACACCACACTTTCATAGAAGTATCAATAGATGCCTTTAATTCTAGTAGTATTCTTCTCAACCATATTCCTTCACAAATTTCATGTACAAGTGCTCGAAATTCAGATTCTATGCTGCTACGAGATACTACAAATTGCTTCTTGCTGCGCCATGTGACCAAATTTCCCCACACATATGTGCGGTAGCCAGAAGTGGATCTCCTGTCGGTTATCGATCCTGCCCAATTAGCATCAGTAAAGACTTCAATATCCCTATATATTTTCTTATGGAAAATTAGTTCTTGACCCGGTGTCCTTTTTAGGTACATCAAAATTTTGTACACGGCCTTCATATGTATTTCTAACGGTTGATTCATGGATTGACTTACTGTACTGATTATAAAGCTAATGTCTGGTCTTGTGTGTGCCAAATATATTAGTTTCCCGACCAGTTTCTGATACCTCTCTTCGTCAACAGTTTTCTCACATTCTATAGATCCCAGTTTCATTTTTGGATCCATAAACATATCTGCAGGTTTACAACCAAGCATACATGTTTCCTTCAGGAGATCCATGACATATTTCCATTATGATACGGAAATTCCTTTCTTAGACCGGACAATTTCCATACCTAGGAAGTACTTGAGCATTTCAAGATCTTTAATTTCGAATTCCTTAGCTAGAAACTCTTTAAGTTTTCAAATTTTCTCAATATGATCTCTTGTGAGGATAATATCATCTACATACACAATCAGAATTGATCTTTTACCTGAGATACAATGTTTGACAAATAAAGCGTGATCTGATTGACATTGTTTATACCCAATATGTTTTACAACCCTAATGAATCTATTAAAACAAGCTCTTGGGGATTGTTTGAGTTCATACAGTGATTTCTTGAGTCTGCAAACCTTGTGAGACTGATCTTCTATTTCCAAATCTAGTGGGATATCCATATACACTTCTTCTAAATCACCATTTAGAAATGCATTTTTTACATCTAGTTGATAAAGGGGCCAATCAAGATTTGCTGCAAGAGACAGTAGTACTCGTATTGTGTTGTGCTTAGCGACTGGAGCAAAGGTCCCCTGATAGTCTATACTATAGGACTGAGTAAACCCTTG